CACTTGAGAGAGAGAGAGGGTTGATGGAGGGAGGAAGAAAGAGAATGGTCGTAATTGAAAGAAGAGATGGGAAACTAGGAATGTATTTGATTAATAAACTAAACTAAAGCATCATTGTCTGTAACTCTGTCCTATCAATAAGAACTTTGTAGTTTGATTGGATTATAATTTTAGAACTTTAACGTGCATGGTTTTTTTATAGCAGGAGCTTCCTTATTTTGCATTTCCAGATTTTTGTTTTCAGCAATCCCCCCAAAATTCATGTTATTTATTGGAATTGTATTTTGATGAATTTACTCTCTTTTTTTTTTTTGTACAAGCATGTCATAATTACCAATAAGTGTGAAAAAGTTTGAGAATATCTTTTTTGGAGTTTAAGAACATCTAGCAATGCCAGGCTAGGCTCGGGCCATCCTTGGACCTAGCCCTACCTTGGTATCTATAGGGCCAGCTTAATCCAGCCTAGACCACACCAGGCCAAAGAGGCCCTAGCCCTATCTTGCCTAGGTTGGGCTGTAACTAATAAACCCAAAGAAAAAAAACAAAGATAAAGGAAAAAAGGGTAAGTTTAGGCTGGTCTAGCCTTGTTTTGACCTAGGCCCAGGCCTAGTAGGGGCCACATTTTGTGACCCAACGCCTAGTTTATCATGGCCCCGAGGGCCGGGACATTTGGCTTGTTGCTAGCCCTAAGCGCACATAGTGACCCCCAATTTATTTGGGAGCCATGGGCCAGGGCATCTGGGCCGTTGCCAGCCCTAAGCATACGTAATGGCACACTCCAAACCACCAAATTTCACAATAAACAGATAAACATGATTATAAACTTCCCATACCAAAAATAAATGATCCAATTGTGTATTTCCCAACCATTATAGCAAGAGAAGAGAATTTCTTGTAATTTATTACTCTTTGGGCATCATCATAATTGTCGCAATCCCACAATTCACTTGATGTATTTTTGTTGCATCCATTGTCCAATAAGAAATGATACAGTTCCTGTTTTTATCTTTTTCTGGTTTTACTATATAGTAGGTTTTGTCCCATAAATTTGTTACAATTTTTTCAACTTTTATCATTCTAACTAATAAATATTTCAAAGTTTCCACGCAATTAGTCTTTCTTCGATTATAATGTGCAAACAAGGGAAAACAGTAATTCCAAGTAAAAGATAAAAATGTATTTATTATTTTTATAATAAGGTATATTATCTCATCTATATCACAGAGAGAATAAACAAGAGCATGAATTTTCAATTCCTCTCCAGAACCTAACAATTGGTGAATTTATAGGCTTTATTCATTGGAAATAAACAACCCTTGATCCCCTCTTGGATGCTACACACGAACGAGAATATATAAAAGTTTCTTTTGTTCTCTTCTCATTACTTTTTTTTTCCTTTTTTTTTTTTAAAAAAATATCTACGTATATTCTATTTTGGTGTACCATTTCTCCACATATCTAAGATTTTAAATACGTTTTTGAGGCATGGGTTTTCTAAAAAATATAGCTTTTAACCTTTAAAAACTTTTTTTAGGCATAGATTTTTTAAAAATATATCTTCTAACTCTTTAGATCCAATTTACCCTTTTGATTACTTGTTTTTTTTTTCAAAAAAAAAAACTAAAAAGACACCTCTATTTGTTTTATAAACTGGTCTCTCTCTATACATCGTCTTTATTCCTCTCTTTCTATAACAGCTCTCTCTCATCAAAAGCCAAAAATCATACCAATGTAGAGAGAAAATATCTTAGCAATGTAGAAAGAAAGAGCAAAGACCTTAGCAATGTAGAGACAGATTGAGAGAGAGACATAAAGCCGTATATAGAGAGAGGTTTAGTACACATATAGAGTTGTCTCTTTAGGTTTTGTTTGGACAAAAAAAGAGCACTCAAAAGAGTAAATTGGGTCAAGGGGTTAAAAGATATACTTTTTAGAAATATCATACCGTGAAGAGTTTTTAAAACTATGGTCTTCGGAGAAGGGCAAGCTTTTTATGCTTCCCTTACAATATAGAAGTTCTATCCTACCCCTTATCTAACCTTCCATTCTGAATGGAGAGCCAAGATTGCCCCAATCACAATGTCACCCCTCTACACTATTTTATTTTTAATTTTTTTTATAAATTATTTTGACACCAAATTTTGGATGTCCATTCCTCTATTAAACTTGTACTAGCGAAAAATATAAAAAAATATTTTCAATAAAATAAAATGATCAAAATACCCCTAAAAGATTCAAGGGGTATTTTGGTCATTTTATTGAAAATTTATTTTTAATATTTTTTTATAAATACGCCCCAATGAGAAGATGGCATGTACCAAATTTCATATTTATACAATTTGTATAAGAAAAACTAAAAATAAAATTGTTTGAGACGTCGAATCTAAGATCAAACGGTGAGTGGCTCTCTTGATCAAAATTGGACGGCTGGATTGTAAGGGGAGGATAGAACTTCTATCATGTAGGGAAAGCATAGAAACCTTTCCTTTTGGAGAAATGGTACACCAAAATAAGGTGTACAAATATATTTTCTCTTGTATTTATTTTCTTTTTTATCTTCAATCTTCTCGGTATCAGAAATGAAAGGACTAGGGTTGATGTTGGTAATTTGCTTTTGATAAATTTAAATTTGATGAGCACTTAAATTATAGAAAGACTATGGATGATAATTTGAGAAAAAAAATACGTATTATTGGAAAACAAATTGTAAGGTAAAAAAAGAGAGAAAAACAACTATATAAGGTAAAGGAAAATGCTTTAGAAAGATCAAACTAACATCTCTATCACTTATCCATATCCCAATGTGATGAGCATCACGAACCAAACTTTAGGCCTTGAAAGGCATTTTTCGGCCTAGTTTGTTGGGCAAAATTTACCAAACTTCAGAGACAATATTTAAGCCTTCAAAGGTATTTTTTAGTCTAGTTTGTTGGGCAAATTTTCGAAGGTTTTGGCTATTTTAAAACTTACATGTCCTTTCTGAAATAGGTTCATTATAGCGATTTTGATATTTGAGCAACAAGATATGCATATGCAAAGTCAGTATTTTTTATGGTTATTTTTAAGAGGCATTTGTCTTGATTATTTTGTCAAAGGGGAAAGTATCCTTGTTCATGGCTAATTTTAATTGGTAGTTCTAATTATATAGGAAGGAGGATTAGTAGTCTTAAATAAGGTTTAGGGAAATTAGCATATAGATCCCTCTTTTTTAAAAAATAAAAATGGTTCTAAAATTTTCTGACTTTTTATGGAGGTATGTTTTTTGGTCAGATGTTTATTTCCAAAAATACCCCTAATTTCACCATTGATATGTCCAACTAAATTCCAACTTAAAGGCCAATTCAATCCTTGAGGTCCAACTTGCTTCTATCAAGCTATAACCAGTTGCGTAAAAAAACAAAAAAAGACTGCATATAAATGTTCCCAGAGGAGCATACTATACAACCATCATCGGGCAAAATAACTACTTCGAAGGCCTTTTCTAAAAACTTTTGGTATCCATATGAGTTATCACTAGGTAACTATTTTCAAAGGATATTGTGATTGGGGCAATCTTAACCCTCTATTCAGAATGAACGGTTGGATAAGGAGATGATAGAACTTATATGCTGTAAAAGAAACATAGAAAGCTTGTTCAAAAAATTATTTCTCTCTCATTAAATGTCATTATCAAAATTATTGATAAAAAATTATTTTTATAGTTAACATTTAATCCCACCAGCAAGGCACTTGCATCTCACTAGTATCCCTAATATTTAGTCCCTATCAAAATTATCATTGCAATGCACATTAAATGCAAGGCACTTACATTTAATCTCAACTAGGCACGTGCAAGGTCCTAAAGTTAATTCTAGGCTAGATCTTATCGGGGAGGGAAAATGAACATTGTACTCCAGCGGGAGTATAAAATCATTTATCCCTATTTCCATTAAAAATGCCCATTTACAGGAGTGCGCACGAAGATCCGTTGATTACGAAAAGCCCTCTCTCTCTCGATTTCGCGTGCCCATTCGCTGTTGATCACGAAAAGCCCGCTAGGTTTGTATTCTGCAACTTAGAGCATCAACAACGATAAAATCATCGGAAACCCTAATCAGCAGTAGGTTTACTGTGCTGAATCCTCGGAATTTTGAGGAAAAGGAAGGAGAACAATCGAAACCCTAGAAATTTTTGACTCGGTATGTTCGCCAATGAAGGCTGTATTGTTATTACCATGGAGTTCTTTGAGATTTTATTTCCATCCTGGTTCTTTTTCTAGGTTTAAACTGCACCATCACTTGTGTTTTAGAGCTAAGATTAGGGTTTTCTTGGATCAATTGATATTTTGTAATTTGGTATCATATTATCTCTTTTGCATCATAAAGTGCGGTTTGGGTATGAAGTGATTCTTTCTGGAATTGGGAATTCTAGGTTTAGAATTGGGTTTATGTGATTTTGGGTCATCGAGATATCACTTATTTGTATTTGTTGGTATCTTTCAATTGGCCTGGCTTATTGGGTTTGAAGGGATTCTAGGGTTTGGAATTGGGGTTATCTCTATGCTGGTTTTTGAAGAATAATTGGTCTTAGTCTATGGCGTATTGTATTTTTGGTTATTCTGAGAGCTTGTTCACGAGGGCTTTGTTTTGATTCTTGGATTTTTCTGATAGCCGCATATTATGGATCTCGACGTTGTTAATAATGGAGGGAATAAGAGGATGTATCACCGTGCCCAACAAAATGAGAGACCGTCCAAAGTTTGTTATTACTGGTTAGAGGGTCGTTGTACTCGAGAGAACTGCAAATTCTTGCATGGGGAGCTACCTTCATCGAACGGGTTTTCACAAAAGAGGTCTCTTCAGCCAATTGAAGAGAGAATTTCCCATGCCACATCTGCTGGGCCAAGAAGGGGTATGCCACTTAAGTGGTTCAGGGGTCAAGGGGATCGTCAAGGGGATGCAGCACCAATCGAAAATCGTCGAAAAGTTCAGAACAAGATCTGCACCTATTGGATAGCTGGGAATTGCAGACTTGGGGATGAATGCAAGTTTTTGCATAGCCACTTTGTTGGTGAAAGCATGACATTCTTGACGATGCTCAGTGGGCATGAAAAGGTGTTTATCTTGGTCTCTTGCTTTATTTGTGGGGCGCTTATTTGGCTGTTGAAGGTTATTGAAGGTTGTTCTTTGAGCAGGCTGTTCGTGGGATTGCCCTTCCTATGGATTCTGAGAAGCTTTTTACCGGAAGCCAAGATGAGTCAGTGAGAGTATGGGACTGTCAAACTGGGCAGGTGTTGTCTAGACCTTTTTTATGTTTGCTTTTGTTTGTTAGTTTGATTATCTCTAGCTTTTTTCTTTATTTGTGTTTTTACTGGGTATATTGTTTAAATTAGAAATTCTTTTAAGCTCGATCCTCCGAAGTCTTTTGTTTTATTTTGACAGTTTTCTTCGCCAACCTGTTGCTCAAATCTCTCTTTCTCTCTCTTTTAACTTGAAAGTAACTTCATGTGAGAAAGTAACTTTTGTAGATGGTGAATGACTGTCGTGCTTTTTTTTGTGAATGGGATTGTTAGAGATATTTTTGCCATAACTGTATTCTTATTGTTATTGGAGATTATAATCTTTTTCTAATTGGTGGTCTCTTTCCATATGCATGCCGTTAAGCCTATTATAATCGTTGTCATTGCAGATTTTGAAACTAGTCTTGTTTTAAAGTCCACTAATGGTATCCGCTCTACATTTTAATACTCCAAATATGTAGAAAATCTCTTGAATCTTAAAATAGTTGGAGTTTGTTGTTTTCAAAATATCTAGTTCAATTTAGCTTTTATTATCGATTTTTTAATCTTGTTCATTCTGTTTTAGTGTGTTGGAGTTATTAATCTTGGAGGTGAAGTTGGATGCATGATTAGTGAAGGCCCGTGGGTTTTTGTTGGGATTCCCAATACTGTTAAGGTAATCCGATATTCCTTTCGTTTGCCTCCATTATTTAGTTATTTCCATGTGTATCTTCATATCATTATAATGTGGCACTATTTCTTCCCATTTCTTGGCCACGGGTAATCTGATATTCCTTTCCTTTTGCCCCCATTATGTAGTTATTTCCTTATGTATCTTTGTATTATCATAATTTGGGAACTATTTCTTCCCATTTCTTGGCTGGGCAACCTGGGTTCTGACCCTCAACCCATAGCTTATAGGTTTTGTATCCTTTATCTAATATGTTGCGTATTTGAAAATCATGTTTTTTCATCAGTGAAAAGAAAAGTAGATGAAACATTTTTCTTTTCTGAGAAAATAGTCCGGGATTTGAACTTGTCTCCACTGGTAAAGACTTGGAATAGATTGGTTGATGCCACAAGATGTCATTCCTCAACCCCATGTTCAACCATCATTTAAATGTATAAAATGAAGTTCTCTTGTTCCAAAGCGGTAGTATTATTAAGCCCCATGATGAGGTGTATGACTCCATTCTCACCAAAGGGTTGGGAACCAAATCCCCACTGGCTTACCATTTTTTTTACTTACCCAAAACAAAGAACTGAATTCGCCATTAAATTTTCCCTCTCCTGTACACCCTGTATAGCCAACACAACTTTCATATGTTGTGGCTGCTCAGATATGAATGTATGTGGGCATATGTCTGCCTTCATAGATACATGTCTTTTTTACATAGACACATGTGTTCCCAGGCATCAGTATGCACGGCATATGTTCCTAGGCATATATGTATGCACAATATATACTCGGTAGCATATGTATATGTGCATATGTATGTGGATGTGTATATGCACATATATAAAAATGCAAACATGTGCTTGTACATGGTCCTGTGTCCACTAGCGACCTGTTTTAATGTGTGCATGTGCGTGTGAGCCATAGACACATGTTTTCCCAGGCATAAGTATGTTCCTAGGCATATGTATGCACGACATATACTCGGTAGCATATGTAAGTATACATATGTATATGCATACACGTACGTGGATGTGTATAAAAATGCAAACATGTGCTTGTACATGGTCCTGTGTTCACTGGCGACCTGGTTTAATGCGTGCATGTGCATGTGACCATGTGAGTTTGTTTGCATGTTCCCATGAAGATTGAGGCATCTATTTTTGTGAATTCATGCATATATGCACACACTTGGGCACATGTAGACACATTTATATATAGGTTTACATGTTTGCGTCGAGGAACGCAGGGGTGTAACTGGTGAATCAGTTTGGTCCTTTCCTGGTCTTTGTTAGATCTTGCGACTTGAAAAGTCGCATAACTTATCAGACGTATGGTAATAGTTTGGAACTGGACTAGGATTGGTCAGAGAAACAAAACCAATAGAGACTATTCTTATTTTGCTTCTTCCTAATTTTTTGGAATTCGCTTTTACCCTGTGCATGAATGGATTAGCGGCTTGACATTTATAGTGCCTGGTTTGGTCTCGCCCATGTCCATATAATGTACTTAAAGATTTCTCTTGTTTCTATAGATTTGGATGCAAACAAGGTTTATTCGAAGGGTTATTTTAGCCTCTTTATTATTCTTATGAAATTTTTTTTTGGTAATTATTTGTATGCACACAGGCGTGGAACACTAAGACCTCTACTGATTTGAGCCTTGAAGGTCCCTGTGGCCAAGTTCATACTCTAGCTGTAGGGAATGAGATGCTTTTTGCTGGCATTCAGGTGACTATCCCGTTTTCAAGCTGATCATTCCTTTTTCTTGTCTTCTTAGGGAACCATTTCTGGCTTATCAACCATGATAGCTATTAGCATGTGCTTGTATGGCTTGGATGACTCAAGCAAAATTATCTACGATGATTCAATTCACAGGATGGAAGCATTTTAGCCTGGAAATTTAGTGTTGTTGGTAATTGCTTTGAGCCAGCAGCTTCCCTTTCGGGACATACTCGCAGTGTAGTTTCCTTGGTGGTTGGATTGAAGAGGATCTATTCTGGTTCCATGGACAATACAATAAAGGTAAGTTGGTTCTTTCTCGCGTCTGGCATTTTCTTATGTTCAGAATTGGTCTTGGTGTGAAATGTGATTTGTTTAATGATAAGAGTTTATTTTTTTGTTGATAAGTATGTGCGATTAGTTTTTAACTGTGGGTTACATGCTGAGCACCATGCACGTGCAGCACATCTATGCAATTTGATTTCTAGATACTGAATGAGAGACAACAGTTACCCCAAGAACTACACCCAGAGCCTACTTTGGGAAGGTCCCAATTCTCATGTGTTCTGCTTTAGATATATGTGTAGTCTATCAGATTTGTCGGATGCCATATGTTTTGATTGAACCATGGTGGTAAAGAAAACTGTGGTTTGGAGTACTGTGGTATTTAAAGATCATCACTTCTAAGCCTGTATATGGGATGTTATAATCACTCTACTGTGCATTTAACTTTCTTAAGCTGCATTGGATGCTCTTATGTTGTATGATTGTCAAGAGACATAACACTTTTTAAGCGGGCTATGAGCCATCGTTTTTCAATTTGCTTTGCCTATCCTTGGAATAACTCCAAAACAAATTGACATTTATAGGTGCTTTTGATTAGTTAAGAGAGTGCTGGTTGCTTGTCTCTCTTTTGAGCGTCCTTTTGTGTGTCTGTAATTTTTTCTGAGTGCTCACTTGATTTGTGCATAGTTGCCACTTAGAGGAAAAGAAATTGAAAATACTTTCCCAAAATTAAGCTTGAAATGGAAATGAGAAAAGCTGTGATATTTAATTGTTGAAGTGTATAGAATTTTTCATAATTATGCATGCTCTAGATTTCATACTCGCCCCATGAATATCATCAGTTTTACTCCTGTATATGGGATCTCATAATCACACTACTGTGGATTTAACTATCTTAAGCTGCATTGGATGCTCATGTAGTGTATTATACTCAAGAGACATCGCACTTTTTGAGTGGGCTATGAGCAATTTTTTCTCATTTTGCTTTGCCTATCCTTGGTGCAACTCCAAAACGAAATGAAGAGTCTGGTTGCTTGTCTTTCTTTTGAGCCTCTTTATGTCTCTCGGTGATTTTTCTGAGTCCATCTGATTTGTGCATAGTTGCCACATTGAGGAAAAGAAATTGAAAATACTTGCCCACATTAAAGCTTCAAATGGAAATGGGAAAAATTACAACACTATAGGAATTGCTAGGGACGGGCACACATCCCTCATACACATTCCACAAGCACACATATAACTTGTGGGCGGTCTTTTTTTCTTCATCGTCACCATCATCATCATCATCGGAGGCTTATCCCAACTAGTTGGGGTTGGCTACGCGGATCCTGTTGCTTTCAAGATTCATGAAAAGATGTGGCAAAGATGCCTACCTAACACAACCGCCCTCCTTTTATCCGCGCTTCCAACCAGCCACGGTGGAGTTTGTTTTTCTTCGTCATCATAATTCAAAATTCCTGTTGCCATTGTAAATGTTTTTAACTTGGCTAATTTGTAAGCCATTCATCTTACTTCTTCTTACTTCTCACCATCCAGGTCACCTCATGTACTCACTTCCTACTCATGTAGCTTCCTCGGGTAGTGTGCATGTTCCTATCTGTTACAAAGAGTCTGCTGAGCACTTATGCTAGACGCAATATGCAAGAGGAAGCTGAAGCTTTATAAATAGTCATACTTGGAATCTAGTAGCACTGCTAAATCTGGTGGCTCTGTTGATCCATAGAAGGCATGAGTTGTTGCACAGGAGTACAAACAGGAGTATGGCTTGGACTATGGGGTGGCCTTCGACCGCTGGCCAAGATGACTTCTCATAGAACATTGATTGTTGTTGCTTCAGTAAAAAATTGGGATATTTTCTTGGACCTTAAGGCGACTGTGTCCATGACACAGCCCCTAGGATATAATTCTACCAATCCACAATATGTGTACCAATGGTAGAAAGCTTTATATGGGCTGAAACAGGTTCTTAGGGCTTGGTTTGACTGTTTAAAAGTGTTGCTCATGGAGCTGGTGAACACAACGCTGTAATGGCCATCCCTGGTTTACTCGGCACAATTCTTCTTGTGTTTATGATCTCATAACTCATGATGATTATGGTCAGATTCTGGCATTAAAGGTGGTTCACGTCAATCATTTGAAAAGGAAGGGCAGGGGACATCTTCAGTATTTTCTCGGGCTGGAATTTCACTGTACTCCACAAGGTTATTCGATTGGGTGGCAGAAATATACCGCTAGATCTTATACAACTGGTCTGTCTCACACAGGTACTCCATTAGAGCTTACTGTGAAGTATTTAAAAAACGATGGTGATAGAATCTGCGGTCCTTTTACTGTGCCTTGTTGGGAGTCTTGTATACCTCACGGTGACTAAGCAAATATATTTTTCATTTTTTTTTGTTGAAAGGTTGATTAGGAAGGATAGAATTAAGAATGAATACATCCGAGGGAACTCATGGGTGGCTCCAATAGACGATAAGATGAGAGAAAGTAGACTTAGGTGACTTAGCTAAGTGTAGCATCGACTTAGAACAACACCGGTTCGGGGACGATTTGGTTCAAGTGGAAGGCTCTAAAAGAGCAAGGGGAAGGTCTAATAGGACATGGATGGAAGTAGTGAGAAGAGGTATGGTAACCTATGGCCAACTGAGGGTATGGTCCTTAATAGAGCTGAATGGTCGAACATGATTCGTGTAGCCGGCCCAAATAGTTGGAATAAGGCTTTTCAATGATGATGATGTTTACGAAAATACTCACGAGAGGCTAGATGTATAAAAGGAAGCCTACATGTTGAGTGCTGTAGAAATACTAATTTTGTTAGTTCGAATTCCTTCCCTAAGGGGATTCATCCAAAGAAAATATTGTGCATGTTGCACATGTTCTCTATGTTGTTAACCCCCCCCCCAACCTAAAATTAACTATTGTGAATCAAATGATTCACAGTCTATGTGGGAGTGGCCTTTGATTATGCTGGATGTCCCTATACTTGTCACTTTAGTACGAAAGTAGTTCTTATTCCTTGGTTGATCTGTTATGACATTGGAAATCTAAGAAGCAATCTACTGTTCCTGAATCTACATCTGAGAGTAAAGATCTGTATTTTGCTGGTAGTGAGGTGGTTTGGCTTAGATGGCTCCTCGTGATTTGTATTATGGGCATTCAGATTACTGTTCTATCTATATTTTATGCTAATAATATCAGCACCATCATGATTGCCAATAATCCAGTTTTCTATGAAAGGACCAAACATATTGAAATTGATTGTCGCTTTGTTCTTGAACAGTTTTAGAAGCTTGTACTAGTTCTTCCATATATTCCTTATTTCACCATGTGGTAGATATCTCCATGACGGGTATGACTAGCAAGTGCCACATTCTTGTTTCGAGAAGCTGTAAAGCGAAGAGTCGTGTGGAAGGTGAAAATATGACTAGCAAGTGCCACATTCTTCTTGCTTTGCTAGGCAAATGGTGGTGGAAATTTACTTCCCCACATCCCCTCCTGTGGAAACAAGTCATCCAAGCGAAGTACGGACTTGGAGAAGAGGGGTGGATGCCTAGATCCCCTTCCCATGGATCCTCTGGAGCCTGGAAGTGCATCACTTGTAGCAAAAATTATTTCCTCAACTGCATTAGGTTTAGATCAGGAAATGGTCAAAGAATCAAATTCTGGATAGATAAGTGGATTGGAGGACAACTCCTTAGGTACGCCTTCACCTCTCTCTGTCTCCTAGGCAAAAACAGGCAGCTTTGGTAGCTGAGTATGTTGAGTTTAGAGGGTCAGCCCTAGGTATGGACGCCCATTTTTAGGAGAAACCTCACAGACCAAGTGTCCCTTTCACTTAATTTCCTTCTCTTATCGCTAGCTTCTCATTTCAGTCCTCTTTCCCCACTTGGGTTTTTTTAGTCTCCTGTTTCCATTCCTCTTTACTCCCAAACCTCTCCCCTGCGCCCCTTCTTAACCAAATTTAGTCCTTGCCGGTACCCCACAAAAATGCAAGCCTTTGTATGGGTGCTTCTGCAAGGAAAGACCCTTACTTTAGACCAACTACAGCGTAGGGCTCTCTCCCTACCCAATCACTATATCATGTGCCTCCAAGAAGAGGCGATCATTCCCCACCTTTTTATCCACTGTAAGGTCTCTAATGCCCTCTGGTCTTCTTTCCTAAAACTCTTTTGTCTCAACTGGGTTACTCCCCCTTCCCTTGATAACCTTTTCAATGCTTTGTTTTCCCCTCATTTGACCAATAATGGAAGGAGACTTTGGCAAATGTCCGTAGTTGCCCTTCTTTGGAGCATTTGGCTTGAGAGGAATTCTAGAACCTTTAGGAGCACTTCGATGGCTCAATGTTCCATTTTCGACTCCTGCATTGCCCTAATCTCCCTCTGGACAAAGCTCATCCCAGTTTTTGCTCCACTCACCATCTCCCACTTCCTAGCCAAAGGGGAAGCCCTCTTGAACCTCTCAGCCCCACCTACCAACTCCAGAGCCCAGGGGAAGCCCCCTCCTCCTGGCCTTCTCAAACTTAACACGGAGGGCTCATCCTTAGGTAACCCATGGCTTTCTGGCGTAGGTGGTACTTTGGTAAACTCCAATGGCATCTTCCTTTCCGTTTCGGAACACATTGGAATCTCAAACTCCTCTTAAGCCAGTGCCCCTAGCTGGGTCCAACCATCAAGGACTCAAATCATACTCCAGCAATATGATCCATTGGGCTACTCACCAGCACCACCTGCCATGGCGATTATTCCATATTTTTTAGCACATCAATTTCCTCTGCAGCTTCTTTCCATATGGTCACTTTCAAGCATATCTCTTGAGCGCCAATACTGAATTACACAGGCTGGCAAAGGAAGGAGCATGCCAAGCCACAGCTCCATCCCACACGTAAATCAGAGGAATCCATTGAAATTTTCTCCAGCTCCAAGCCACAGACCCAAGCCACGGGTGCACCCCCAGTCGTTTTTCCCCCCCTTCCTCCTCTATACTCGTCCCCTTCTCTTCACAAAAAAAAATTGTTTGTTGCTCCTCCCCTAACCATTCACTCTCTCTAACTTCCCTCTCTCTCTAAAATGCTTTTCTCTCTTCCCCAACTCACGTTCTCTACATCCCTCCTCTGTTTGCCTCTTGTTTCTTCAACCTAAATTCTTCTCAGCGTACTTTTCATCCCTCAACCATCCTCCCCCGTCACCTTTGCCCCCCTCATGCTCCCCTCCTTGAGCCGTGAAGATCGCAGATGATTTTCGGGAACTGAATACCAACCCAATACGGGTGACGACACCGAACAGAACGCTATTTCAAGTTGAAGCACCTCCCCTTCTTCTCAGGACATTGTTTACTGTTCCACTCTCTAATGCTCTCGTCTTCCTCTGTATCCTATTTCTGTATTTTCTTCTATCCCCCCTCCGAATGTTCATATTGTAGCATGAGCACTGAATTTGTCTCCAAAATTTTGATGTAATACCATTTACTGCTCTACTCTTTAATGCTCTCATATTTTCCTCTTCCCTATTCTGTATTTTCTTTTCCTCTCTTCCCCCTCCAATCATATTGTAGTCTGAGCACCCAATTTGTGGGATGGCAGTCTTTGAAAATTTTGATGTGATACATTATACTATTAATATAAAGTTCTCCTTTTCCTCAAAAACGGTGAAAAGATCTAATTTGTTATTGTGCTTTTATCGTATTTTTTGTTTTCTTATAGTCTTTGATAAATGTAAGTACAAGCAGTAGATATTCCTTTAATATTCTAATTCATTAGACTTGATGTTATAGTTCTACAGTGTTATATTAATATGAGAAATCATATGGTCTGGACACACTTTTCTAGGCCCCTCCAGATTGTACAACACCTTGCCTTTGGAACCTCTTTGGGATATTGATTCTTCAACTATTTGATACATCTTAGGGCAGATCTATGGGATTAATAGTATCCTTTAATGATCTTATGGAAGCTTTAGTTTGAGTGTGACGTTAGAGTCAGAATTTACTAATGGTTAAATTTAAAGAATGATTCTCTGAAGTGAAAACTAATGATTTCATTTGGTGTTAACTTTTTGTGGATAGAAATGTTATTAATGCTGTTCCATCCAAGACCACCTTGTGGGTCATTATGTTTTGAAATTACTGATATGGAGTTCATACTTCTGTGAAATAAGTGTTGATTGCTTGCTTTCAGTGTGTTTACAAGTGACAATATTTATTTTCAGGTCTGGGATCTTGATACTTTGCAATGTCTTCAGACATTGAGTGAGCATTCTTCAGTTGTAATGTCGCTACTTTGCTGGGACCAATTCCTGTTATCTTGTTCTTTGGATCGAACAATAAAGGTATTAGTGTTTGATGCTATGGCTCTGGTGTGCACAATTATTCAGTACAGTCCAACCATTCATTTGAGCTTGTATTTCTGCAGGTTTGGGTTGCTACTGGGGATGGGAGCTTAGAAGTAACCTATACTCACAATGAAGAACATGTATGCCACCTGTTTCTTTGCTAATATTTGGTTTATGCTTTGTTTTTTTTGGCAAAGAGGAAAAAAAAAATGTTCATGTGGTTGTTTTCCATGTTGTGATAGGTTTTTCTTAAAGACTACATGTGATGGAGTTAGATGCACTGATGGAGATATTAGACATTTGTATAATTTAGTTGATAACTTGCGCATAATGTACTGCATATGCTCTTGTTACCCATGCTTTGCTAGTACTTTGCTTCATTTGCAATAGGCTTCAGAATGGAGTCGTCATTAACTAGATGGGGGTCTGCAACGGATCAGTGGTTGGTCTGCTGAGGGCTTACCAGTCAGGGGATTTTTTATTTATTTATTTCAATCTAAGGCTCTAACTGTACTGTTTCGGTCTTTCATGCTATGTATGTGTTTATTTTTTGGCTCATAAAATTTGTTGTCCGGATGGCTTTAAAATGATTATAATTAGGCTGATGTTTGCTTGCAAAATCTGGCTAGAAGGATATTGTTATACATACGATTTTATAAATGTATGATTTTGTTTTAAGTAATGACCTATACATGTAATCATAGAAAGACTGAGTACATTAAAACATTTGATGATGGAACACCTTTCAAAGATTTCTTGGCCTTATTTTGGTCATAATATTTTACAGACTATTGGATGACAAATTCACTTTTGTGTAGTTTCCTCATGCCAATTGGTGCACTTTTGTCTGATTATCATGCATCCTGTTTTGCAGTTGTATTGTTCTTTTTTGAGTTGCTTTGGCAGGGAAGTCTGTTGTGTTATTAAATATTTTGTACTCGTGTGTGTGTACATATGCACGTGCATATCTGTGTTACATGAATGGTGGTTGTGGCTCTCTCGTGTCATTATCTTGCTCTCCATTTAACATTCATTTTACTATTCTTTCGCTTGGTTAATTTAGTACAGTAGTTTGTTTCTCTGGTTTTTGTGTGTTCTTTAAGTGGCTAGAAAATCTTACATTATTGGTTCATTGGTCGGTAATCCTGTGTACTTTTGTTGCAGGGTGTACTCGCACTATGTGGTATGCACGATGCACAAGCCAAACCTGTTCTGCTTTGCTCGTGTAATGATAATACTGTCCGACTCTACGACCTCCCATCGTATGTTCTCTCCCTCTCTTTGCCTCCCATCTTATGTTCTCTCCCTCTCTTTGCCTCTAGATTCTGGTTGCATGGTTTAATACGAGACGTTGAAGTTTTGTAAGTGGAATCTTGCTTCCATGAATTATGAGATGGGTCAGAAAGAAAATGGAAGTCATACTCCCAAGTGCTGTGACATCTTGGTTCTAACTGCACAAACAAGTTAAGAGAGAGAGCATTCATAGACTCCGAACTTGGTTCCTTTTCCACATTTCAATCTTAATGGACTTGAGAGAGAGAGAGAGAGAGAGAGAGAGAGAGAGAGAGAGGAGGAGGAGACGTACGTACGTTAACGTTACGTTTCGTTTCCTTACTATAGTAACTAACTTACTTAGTTAGTAGTAGAGAGAGACGAGGTAGTAGTAGTATAATAAT